TGCAACAACAACCACAGGCCCCTCCCAATCACAAGCAGCAACTACTTCAGTCGCCAAAGATAAAGGGAAACAACCAAAGAAGCCACGACAGCCAAAGAAGCCACGACAGCCAAAGAAGCCACGACAGCCAAAGAAGAAACCCTGAATGGCTGCAAATGCATCAAAGGGAGATTGATGAAGATTGATTTTTTGGTATTTTGTTAGGTTGAATATGCTGGGGTGAGCATATTTTGTGTGGGGTTGTCTTTTGTGTATGACAATTATGGTTGGTTGGTAAATGTAGTTATTGGTTTAATGTGCAGTCCATTATTGTATTTTTTGCTTAGGATTTATTTGCAAAATTTGCGTAGGTTTGTATGTATGAAACTGCATTCATGCAATTGTTGTAAACACTGCATGTTGGAATGGTATGCACTGTGTAAAGTGCTTATTTTCTCAAATTTATATACAATCAGGTACAACATTTATAACAGATTTCAACAGCACAGAATCTTCGATATTATATTAGGTTTTTGGCAAAGAGGCACATTACAATTGGTTCAGACAAAAAGAAATGCTTCTATAGGCCAATAAACTCACAAGAACCTGGATTCTAGTGCAGCCTTTTTAGGTTAATAAACTAACAAAAACCTGGATTCTAATGCAGTCTCTGTAGGCCAATAAACAGACCAATAGCAGATACAGCACTTAACATGCAAAACACACACAAAATGATACAAACTTTTTGTGATCTTCTGCAAATCTTCTCACTTCTTTTCACTTTCTTCTCCAAATGCTTAATCTTCTTCACTAGTGATTCAGATTCAGCTATTAAGACCCCATTCTCGTGTAGCAAGTTCCCATTTTCCACTAATAATCCAGCATTTTCCTTCATCAAATCATCATTTCCCTTTATCAAATCAGCCATTTCCTTCATTAAATCAGCATTTTCCTTGATCAGATTAGCATTTTCCTTCTTCAGCCTTTCATTCTCGGACTGAAATCGAAGCTGCTTATCTTTCAACCTCAGTAACAGATCCCTTGCTCTACCCTCAATCACCTTATCACCAGGAATAAAATGGGAGAACTTGCAAGGCTTTCCAGTCTAAACAGCACAAAAGTTAAGAAAACAACTTTATGCTTCTAAAATGGCACTAAACTAGATAAATCTGCAACTAAAATTAAAGAATACCAGCCTTACCAGGAAATTTGGACATCCCCAAAACCTTCTTCCCATGTTCTGGAATGTCAGTGCTGTCCTCAACACAGGTGCTAAACCACACTCGCATTTCGATTCTGTCGTTTGACCACCACTAGCACTCGCACTCGCACTCGCACCATCAGAAATTGAAGGAATGGATATCGATTCAACAACTTCCATTGCCTAAAATTCCTCAAGATCCACTCGAAAGGACAAAATAGTTGATTTCGAAAGCGTGAATCTCAGGATCAAAGACAAAAGAGCTCTGTTCTTTTAGGGTTTTGAAATGGAGAGAAGCGTGACATCTACGATGTTCGAAAACTCCATTGTTCTTCGATTTCCACCTCTTTCAGCACTAAACGCGAAGATTCGAAAGTGAAAGATCAAAGATTCGCGAGCAAAAAGCAGGAAGGAGAATGGGACTTTTGGCTTTTCTGCAGGTACGGTGTGCCCTCTGCACTTCTAGGGTTCGAATGGGAAGAAGGGGAGGATATACTGAAGTTGGGCAGGAGGTGGGCCCCACGTTTTTATTTTTTTTGCTTGGCGGGAATCTGACGTGTTTTATGACATGTCATCTTTTTTCCATGTGTACATATGACGTGTCACAATATTTGGCCATGTCATCGTGTTCCCGTTAGTTAACAGTACACGTCACTGGATTTTTAACGGAAGGACCAAATCGGGGTAAAAATGGTAAACAGTAGGGACCAAATCAGGGATTTTTTTAGTTCATGGACCAAATCGGGGGTTCGTACAATAGTTCAGGGACCAAAAAGGGGTTTTAACCTTTTCAATATATTGTCTTTGGTATGTACCGTGTGTTGGAAGAGTGAATTTTACTTAGATACTCAATGGCTAATATTTTAATTATGTTAATTGTATTAGAGTCATGTGATGTAATTTGTCTTTTTATAATTCAGTAGATAGTGGTTAAAACCACAAGTTTGTACAATGTAAGAAGCAAACTCTATATATTAGTAAATGATATCAAATGAAGACGTATGGTTATGTCTTCTATGTTTTCCCTCAATTTCTCCTCTGTTTTTCCTCTTCTAGTGAGCTCTCTGTGCTTATCTTCTTCTGATCTCCATCACCGTGAATGCTATGCAAAAATAAATAACATCATTGATCTACTTTAGATAGATGCTTTTATCGTAAAAGGCAAATGTAGTATAAAAAATGTCAAAGATATACAACTCCAGTGACTTGATTCAATTATTCTGAGGAAGTAACAATTACAAGAGGTATCTGATTGCAAGAATTTACTTGGAAAATAACCCCAGTAGGTTATTTTTCAAGCTGCACTAATCAATACAAGCTAGGCTTCTAGAGCAATATTCAGAAGAAGGTGATTAGTTCTTAAATTGACTTTTAATCCTACAAATACATCATTGTCAGCAATCAAGCGCTACTCTTCTTTACAGTGGACTGCATCCGAGCATCAGTATGTTCAACTCTACAATTGCAGATAATCCTGTACGGCTGTACCCATGAGCACATCAGACTGATCAAGTATTTTGGATCACATTGAAGACTAGTTTCCAAAACTGTGTGCTTTCTTCCAATTAGCACAGCCCCAAGACTTGTACACTACAGTTAGAGACAAGTTGAAAAAATGCTCCTATACTTAACTCCAGCTAGACCTTTCCATCTGATGAAGGGAGGCTCCTATCTGTTTTAACCGCAGTTGAAGATGATGTTGTTAAAGAATTGGTGCCTTTAGAAGGGGAAGAGGAAGGAGTTGGGAGCTTCTTAGGCAGCATGTTCCCAGTAAGTCAATCTTGATGCTTCTGAGACAACAACGAGAACAAGAAGAGTCATCCGGAGCAAGCACTTGTGCCTCCAAGAACCTAACATGTGGAA